TGGGAAGTACCCCGTTACCTCATCAACATCATCAGCTAGGTTGTCATCTTCTGTTTGCCTGTGACCTGAAGGCTGGGTTTGAAGCAGGTGTACCTACTTTCAGGTCTGACACAACTTCAGCCTTCTTGTCACTCGGGATGTAGGTCAGTCTGAACATCGGATGAGTTGCAGAGGCTCTGAGCAACCTGGTATTTACTCAAACCTTTTCTTAATCCCACTGATGATCGCATCTACCATGGGGTTGCAGTGATGAAGCCGGCACTCCCTCTTCATCTCTTCCATCCTTTCAAGTAGAATTGAGATGGTTGGCACCAACACTCCCGAGAAGCCCATTCGGTCAGACTGTAAGACGTCAAGAGCCTTGGCCAAAGGCGTCATAACCTTGGAAAACAGTCAAAGAAAAATATTAATTCACATAAATCACATATTGGTAAATTATTTAAGTAATAAAATTGAGTTGTTATTATTATGTCAATATTACCTCTGCCAAGGTGGTTATGTTTTTTATTTTTGTTTTTTATTTTCAGAAAACATGGGTATTGGGACAAAGAACAGCTGATTTTTGGGGGTGATCCATAACACTGTGTGGAATTTGTGGGTCAGTCACCCATTTTACCTTGGCGGAGGTCTGCGCTCTCCAAGTGCCTTCTTAGTTATTTACTTTATCACTACGGCTGGGTAAAAAAATCGATTTAATCAATTTTGAATTGATTCCTTTACATTTTTGCAAAATCGATGTCTAGGAAATGAGATCGATTTAATAGTGACGCACGTGACGTTCAAATTCAAATGAGCAGGAAATAAGCACTCAAGATTACTTCAAGCCAGACAGCTGGAAATATAGCAAATAGGTTGACTGAAGACATTAACAGATGGGGGCTGAGCAGCAAACACCCTGTAGTTGTTACAGACAACACTACAAATATGGTTTGTGCAGAGAAGATAATGCAGCTCATGAATGTCTGCTGTGTCACTTCTGCTTGCTCGAGTGAGGCTTCACTTTTTCACTTTTCACAAACAAGTTTGCACTTTTGAGACAGTTTTGTTCACATCACTTTGTGTTTAATATGACCGGAAAAAATAAAATATATGAGTTTTTTGAAACACAGTTGAACCACTTTCATTATTGTAAAAACCGATTGAATCAAAATGAATTGATTTAGAACTGCATGAATCAAAATCGAATCGATTCAGGACTTTGGCGAAATTACCCAGCCCTATTTATCACTTATAAAATTCAGGCTATTGTGATAGCTTGTTGTCATTACATTCACATACTAGTTGCACACTTGGCATATTTACCTTCATGTATTCCTGTATGAATGTGAATTCTGTTGACTTGAATCGTGCCACCTGCAGCTTCTCACAGACTTCATAGAATTCTTGTTCTTTTGTGAGGATACAAGTATTCAAGCGCTCCATGGCATGGTAAGTGGAGTTCCACCTGGNGTTACTTTTGGGTTTCATTTTTTGATTCCTTTGGGGCACGGGATCTGAGGGCCTCTAACTTTTTTATTCGCAGTAATCAGAAGAAGCCGAGCAAAGAAAGCTAAAGAGGAGAAAATTTATAAATAAAATATCTTTTTTGAACCCTCATCTTTTGTCTCGTGTCCTCAAATATGTTGTGCCCTTGGTGGACGTAACACTGGCCTATTCTGACTGTGTACCTATATGATAGTTTGGACACTTTTTTACCAGGAAAAATGCAAGAGATCTAGATGGTCCATCTGTCAAATGCTGGAGAAAGATTTAATATTAAAAGAGGAGCAATACAAGGTAAATTAAATGATCTTTCTTTTTATAAAGCTCCCACAAAACAGATGTACAAGGTCTACTTGCAAGAGAACATCTTCCAAGCTCTGGAGGCCATTATTTAAATGCATTTTCTCTGTGACTTATACTTTCAGAAATGAGAACAATCTAATCAGTCTTTCCTGAAACTGTCAGTATAATAATGAGTATTCAGGATCAATTTTATTCAGTTTATATCAATAGCACTAATTAACAACACTGCATCTCAAGGCACTTTACAGAGATAATCTGATCTTACAATCAGATTGGTAAATAGTTTCTAAGGAAAACCAACTTATTTTTTCATTGACTTGCAGGACAGCATCTACATGTTCATCCGCTTTCTGATATTTAAAACAGATTATTAATTGAGTTTTACACAAAGCTTAGAAAAGATCCTCCAAATAACACCAAAATGCCTGAACAACAATAGAAAGTCTATCCAATACTCACCAAAGGGTAAGGTTAAATTAATCTTTATTCAATTTTATGTTTGACCATTGAAAAGAAGGAATAACTGGTTTAAAATCTAGAAAACATTCATCCTCTAATTAAAGAGAACCTCGTTTGTTTATTGAGCTTTTTTGAAAAACAGATAAGTTGAGAACCAGAGCAAAGCAAAGATTTGTAGCAAACATCTGAAATAAACATTCATCATGAATACATCAGAATTTAACTTGATCATACATTTCTAAAATAAATAAGAGGAGAAACTATACACTATATGCCTTGGTCAGATTCNTTACCCAGCCCTATTTATCACTTATAAAATTCAGGCTATTGTGATAGCTTGTTGTCATTACATTCACATACTAGTTGCACACTTGGCATATTTACCTTCATGTATTCCTGTATGAATGTGAATTCTGTTGACTTGAATCGTGCCACCTGCAGCTTCTCACAGATTTCATAGAATTCTTGTTCTTTTGTGAGGATACAAGTATTCAAGCGCTCCATGGCATGGTAAGTGGAGTTCCACCTGGTTAAAATGGGCACTATCAGCTGACATCCTAGCTTCTCTTGAATGGTGTCAGAGGCTTGAGTGCTCCTGTGTTGCTTGTTCCAGAGAGCCTGACATTTGGCAAGCGTTGATCTCGATAATCTCTTGAATGTCTCTGACTGGGTCAATGCGTGTTCAATGTCTCTGGTGGCAACAAGATTTAGAGAGTGGCAGGCACAGCGCTGGTGTGGAGGAAGGCTGTAATCTTCCTGTGTTTCTGCCAGGATCTCTGTGAGATTAATGAAGACAGGTTGATCTTCCTCATCCTCATCGTCTTCCTCCTCCTCTTCCTCAGCTCTGTATTCCTGGATACTTTTCTGAACTTCCGTGAATATACTAAAGGCTTTTATAAAGTTAGAACTATTATCGGTAGTTGTCAGAGTAAGCTTGTCTTTAATGTTGAATTCTCTGTGAACAGCTTCAAGCATCTTGGCCAAAACACCAAAAGTGTGCCTCCCTACAATTCTACGGCAGGCTAATGCTCCAGAGCGGATGTTCAGTGAGTCCTCATCTATCCAGTGGACACTGACACCGAGGAAGCTCCTATTATTTGATGACCAGGCATCTGCGTTGGTGCACAGGTGACTCTGTTTGGACATTACATCAACCAAAGCAGTTTTCATGGAAGAGTGTTCCTTGTCAAGAAGTCGCCCTAATGTTCGCCTTGAAATCAAATGCCTTGAGGGCAGAATTTCACTAAATAATTGTCTATATTCAGGTCTGTTCACAGTGTGGAGGGGGTGCATTCCTTGAACTATGAAGTTAAGAATCAGCTTATCGAAATGTTCCTGAGATATGATGGGTGTGCCCCCCCTGAAAAAATGTGACACGCTGGGTTGTAAGTCACG